GGGGGGGGGGGGGGGGGGGGGGAAGGGGTAAAAACCGGTTAAAATTTCAATATTGCTTTTCGTAAAGTATAATAAGGGATGCGATAATGAAGAATTGATAGAATGACTTACGGGGGTCAGGAGTATCTCCATTTCGATGACGAATTGAAGAATTCATTTGAAACTTTTTTTTCCACTTTTAAATTCACCCCATAGCCGGTGCATTAAAACCTGTATCCATTCAGGAGCGACCCTGTTTATCGAATGAATATTCCATTCTTGATTATAGTAGTCTCTGTCAAAATCCCTTAATCTCTCTGCCTTTCTCGGTCTCTACCGTTCGTGCCACTAAATACCTTTGATTTACACCTGGCAAATTAACGAAATGGAATATTTTTTCACAAAGATTTTTCTCCCGCATAACATTGGCAGTTTCACTGCACCGCGCGAAAATCTCATTACGTAATATTTAAAAATTAAAAATTTATCATTTTGAAAAATATCCAGCTTACGATATTTTTGTCAATGTTCATCGAATTACCCCCGTAAATTCCTTGGAGACTTCATGCCCACCCCACTGATCTTCCTCAATATTCCGTGGCAACGTATTCTCGTTTAAAGTATTCATTGCAATGTCCTTCCTGTTACTTAACGAAAAAGTCGAATACATTTTATGGCTTTACTCTTTATCTTTGAACTCTAGGGGATGGTCGATCCAACGGTTTGATCGCGGTACAAGAGGGCGCCAATGTCAGACTACGATGCGCTGCCAGTGGCAATCCACGTCCCATTATTCAATGGTCAAGGACCGATGGCTTACCAATTCCCATAGGTTCGTTCTACGGTGAGTAGAGAGTCGATGAAAGTAACATTTATCTTTGTGCCTGAAAATCTTTTACCATGGATCGTACGAATTTATCTATTACTTTGTCACGTTACTCCCTACTCGTCAATTTTCATATTACCAAGGACCCACTCAGCTTTTCGCGTGAATAAAAAAGGCAAAGACTCGCGTCATTTAACTTTGTAAGTTTGCTACCTCCTCTCCCGGAGGATTTTTCGTGTCAAACTGTCAACCCTCCTGTAAGGACATTCCATGCAGCGACCTGTAACATTTAATGGTGCGTGTCAAGTTGGCTAATAGGGCACGCCTGCAGGACGATGACTGATCCTTGTCCTGGCTAACAGCCCATAGGACTTGCGACGTTGAACCATCGTAATTCTACTTGAGCGTGGTGAACCTTTTGCAACCCCTAGTAGTACTTACGCGTCTCACTACCTGAATCAGCCACCCCACGGCGGATCCTAATTAGGGGATGCCAGCCAGAAATTATAGCAGTCCTTGTCGGACCTAACAACAGTAGAGCCACCCTGCGGGTTCACCAAGGACCCACACCTCGTGTCCTTGATGTCTTGGACGCACGTCGTAACCCTTACGGTTCCCATATATTTTTTTGTTTGGTTCATCCCCGGCTTATAGTGTTTTAATTAATGTTGTATCTGTAACATATATTTATACACACTTATGTCCATTGCATCTATGTATATATGATTAAATTGAATCTTGTATAACTAACGTTGAAAATGTATTATTCAAATAATAATGAAGTTATGGTAATTGAAATTATCATTTGTTTTGACAGCAAACTCTGTTACCGAAAATACCCTAAATATCACAGTGGTCAACAGAGAGCACATGGGCGAATATATTTGCATAGCAGACAACGGCGTGCCACCCAGAGCGACGCGGGCGTTCAAACTGGAGGTGAACTGTGAGTAAAGAATTTGCCTACTGAAATCATAAGAGAATAAACGCTGACTCGGGTCTCTTCGCATAATTGCTCAATTTTACGCAACGCTTACACGACTCGGCGAAACTAATAACTTAAAGTTTTATTTTTGGTATCGAGCATTAAAATTCGTAAACCTTGGACAATTTTTGCATTCACATAGATAATTCAATTTACTTCCACTCGCGCACGCTCGTCACGTGGGGTTCTGGCTTTAGCGGGAGGGGTTCAAGTAGTGCCACGTACCAACTTCTAAGTTAGTTTCCTAAAATATCTTTTCTTAAACTGCATTCACTCGGATGCTTTCTCGACTCGGGACGTCTTATTTACCTCGTTCTGAATTGCCGTTAGGAATAAATCAAAGCTGTACGTCACCACGGCATTCCACGGTTGGCAGACCTTGCTTCGATTTTCCCGAATCTTTAGAAAGTCTTCGTCTCCGTGGATGAAAGGGTGTCGTAAATGAAATAGCGGCCACCGTGGAAGAGCCTGGGGATTTAATCGGACCTGTATGTATTGATTTGCATTGAGATTCTACGTATACGTATGTAAATATATATATATAGAATCTATTATTAGTATATATATATATACTAATAATAGATATGGAATTCTTGAGGGGTTGATACCAAAAGGTAAAGATGTTGAATATCGAATACTTGTTAATTTATCCTGTTGTTATTATTCTTGAATTTTCTTTTTTTTTTGCTATGATGGTAGCACCTTTAGCGAACGCATCCTATAACGTAGATGGTTTGTATTTTAAACGATTTTCTTTTCTCCCGCGAGAGCGACTCGACTTTATTAATGTTAATGTCTCTTACAATTCTTTGAGACATACTTCTCTTACTGTAGGCTATGCAATGTCAGATAATAATAGTAATTTTGAATATATTATTCTACCAGCATCTTTTAATAAACATAATATATTCTTCATAGAGAATCTCTGCTGGCTATATCGTAATGTACCTGTGGTCACGTGTGACAGTATGCACTTTTATTTTTGAATAAGATGCCGAACTTGAAACATTATCTTTATTGAAAAAAATTATCGAAAAGTTTTTTTTTTACATTTTGTATTTTCGAATGTCTTATCGCGAAAGACTTTTTTGAAATTCATGCAAAATAATTTCTTTTACAGTTCCACCATTTATTAGAATACGCAATCAAGTAATACGAGTCGGAAATCAAGAAACGGCTGTATTGGAATGCGAAGTGGAGGCTTTTCCCGAACCGATCACTTATTGGGAAAAAGGTGAAGTCGGACGTATCTTAGATAAATCTGAAAAATATCGTATGGAAGTGTACGACAGGCGCAACGCATATAAGGTAAAATTAAAGTTGAAACTGGGGAAATTAGAGACATCGAGCACGAGAATAAATTGTTGGAACAAACTGCTACGCACATTTTTGTATACGAAATTGTGCTGCTGTATAAATCTACGTAATGTTTTTTTTTTCAATTTGAGAAATGCAAATTTTTCGAAATTCATCAGTGGGTCTCTTTCCAGTTGCCTCTCTATATGTACATTTTTCGCTGTATTTTACTCTAGCATGAATATCGTAATAAAAAGTATTCCCGCAGATGAAATTCACGCTCGTAATCTATTTCAGATGAAAATGAGAATGAATATAACACGTATAAATTCAGCGGATCACGGTATCTATCATTGCATTGCGAAAAACGAGATCGACACTACGAAGGGTGCACTTATAGTGAACGGTCAGAATATAATTTTCCTAACTATCCTATCCAAGATATTACTCAAGTAGATGAATCGTTATCTCATTGATAATAAATGACATGTGAAAACTTTGGAATTGTAATTTTTGTTAATTTAGATGAGTCAGTGGAGGCCATGAAAAAGATTAACGGTGTACAGCAAGAGGTCTTTTATGGAGAACGACCTCCGGCTAAAGTTGACCTGCAAGACATATGTCCACCTCAACAATCGTGCGAGGCCTGCCCAAATTTGAAATGTACCTTTTCTGATTTCGGCGGCAAACTGGACATTCGACCTTTGAACAGTAAATTTAATTATACCGGATTGCCACCCAGAATTGCCGGTTAGTTATTTTCATAGTATGGGATGGTTTATCACAACCATTGTTATTTTCACTTGCAAAATAGCTAGAGTGCCCGTTTCGACTTTTCTCTTTAATTTCAAACACTTCTACTTTGCCAACAGAGGGGGTACTTGAGGCCGTGGGAAAGCCAGTGCTCAAGGGGAACATGGACGATTTTTACGGCTCGTGGCTGCACGACGCGTCACCTAGGTCTGAGGCTGCAGCCGAGAAACTTTGGGTCACCAGAAGTAACAACACCTCGTATATCTTTGAATATTCCCGAAAGGAGGACTTCAAAGAGAACAAGGACAAATATAGGCAAATTCGATTGCCGTATAAATTCCAGGTTAGATATACACGTTCTTCAAGTTTTAAATCAAATTTTCTCTCTAGTTTGAGTTTACGGGTACTGAAGATTTTTCTCATGCACTTTTACTTTTTCTTTCGTTTCGCAGAAATTGTCTATTCAATTTTTTACGGGAAAATTTATAGTTGAAATTTCGGGAACGTTTCTTGCCCGTCAGCGATGACATTCGATGAGGACTCGTAAAAGGATTTTTTTTTCTTTTATTAATGTTACGAATCTCCGGAGAACCACTTGGACATTCATACAAGTTTCACGAATTCGATGAAAAAAGTTATGAAGCCGGTTTTTTTTTATTAGGATCCCTTTTCGAGTCTCTTAGGACAACCGGAATTTTATTAAAGTCCTGCTGGATCGACGTCTTTCTCAGAAAGGAAGTAATTAAGTTTGTTGGATACCTTAGCGTTTGAACTTTCATTTTGAGAAATACAAACTTCAAATTTCCACGGGGAGAATATAATATATCCGTGAAATGTAAACGTTATGTTATAACCATCTGTTCGCAATTGAAGTTTTAAAGTTACTCAAACGATTTACATTCGACAATAATTCACGTAACTAACTGCTGCCTCGGAAGTTATGAAAAAATATATATATAACGTGTAACTGATAATTACTAGATGATTTGCAAAGCCATCAGTGAAAAATATGGACAAATAATTCAGCTGTCTGATATAACCGCGCAGTTGCATCGAATGCATCTGAACTGCACGTTCTATAATAAATGACACATAAATTTTGGTTTGTACAAATGTTTTATGCAAAAGATGTTATTTTACAGATGATCAAAGGTACAAAGTCGTTCAAGTTTACTCTCGTATTATTTTTAAGGGAGAGAAAGTTACTCTTCGTAAACTTTTCTAATTTACATTCGAAACTAGAATCTTTCAAGTCAGAGCACAAATATGATTCCTGTTGCATTAGGATGATTAGTTGCATACAAAGTTAAAAAGAAAGAAAAAGAACAAAAAATCATAAAAAGTTTACCATCTTCCTTGATTTTTTTCAATCGTAATAAATACTGTCCTATTAATCGGTCAAGTGATCTGTCATTTATTTGTTGTTATTTACTTGTCCTGCTTTCAGGGAAATGGTCACGTCGTCAACAATGGTTCGTTCTTCTATAATCCCGAGGGACGCGCTTCTGTGATGCGCTTCGACTTGCATTCACCCCAAGGTTCGGTAAACTCTGGCAATCCCAACAGAATGGAATTGCCACTTCCGGGACTCCACGTCAACAATAGCAGTAACTATCTGTATACGCCGGGGCATAATTTCAACTTTGTGGATTTTGACGTGGACGAGAATGGCAAGTGTCCATTGTTTAATCGTATAAACAATGTAGTATTTCTTTGATTAGAAAATTATTATTTTTCAATAACCTCCAAGTGAACGATTGAATTATTGATTCCTAAATACATTTAAATATTGTCAATGATTTATTGTGTTAGCTAGCATAGTATCTTATCGGGCTAGTACGAATGAGTATAATAAACTTCACAGTCGTATCTTATACTCATTCGTACTAACTAGATAAAACAGTTTTTGTAAAAAGTGTTCAAAGAAAAGGGCGTTTGGCCTTTTTCTTACGAGAGATGGCACTGTTAACCTGGTAAAAAAATATTTTTAATAGGTTTCTTGAAAATATTTAGATACCTATGAAGTCACTATCTTAAATCTTAAGGTAATTTTTTAGTAATTTTTTTTTAAACATAATGTTTTAAGGTGCATCCTCACGACACATTGCGCGGTATTCTTTGAGCATTTGTTACAAAGAATGTAGTTTGAAGTTATAATTATCTGGAATCATCGTTCCACGCAGGATTATGGGTCATCTATGGTCTCCCACCAAAAAATACAGTAGTCATGAAAGTAGATGCAGTTACTATGCTACCGCAGTACGCCTGGAACATCAGCGTGGATCATCATGAATTTGGAGAAATGTTTATTGCCTCTGGCGTTTTATATGGTGTAAACAGCGTTACGGATCGAATAATGAAAATACGGTATAACGAAAGAAATAATATTAATGAATATTTACCTATTCCGATTATTAAAATCTGTGAGCGTATCTAGATATATTCAACTAACACCAAGTGAGCTAACTTTTAAAAGAAACCATTATTGATTAGAAAATTTTGATTTTATTAATGCAGATTGGCACTGGACCTCTACAAGGGTATTGTACTCGATGTAATTCTGTCGTTTACTAATCCGTTCAGACGCACCACGATGATAGGCTACAATCACAGAACAAAGGTGAGTAATTACAGGTTATTCTAAAATTTTTTACTCTGGTTATTATAAATAACAAAAAACAAATCATTTTCCAACGTAGGAACTTTACACGTCGGACAAAGGATGTCAGTTAGCCTATCCAGTGAGGTATCAAGACTTCGGCTATATTAACAACACCAAAGAAGATACTAAGGAAATGGACGGTATTGCCGAAAATCTTACAGGATACGAGGTCTACAATAACAGATCGCGTTATGATCTTCGAAACGAGAACTAGTGATAAGAAATCTTTTTAAAATGAACTTGAATAGTCCATGTTTTTTTCTTGTCAAATCATAATATCTCGCGAATTGGACATTTCACGATTATAATCTCTAAAAGAATTTTTCTCAAGACCGTCTACTCCATGGATTCTCGATATTCGCAGCAAGAGTAAGGAGGGAGTAAGAGGTGGGGGATGGAATCGATAATCGTCTCATATCATTATCATCCTGTCACAGCGACATCGAATATATTGTTTACGACGACGTCACAGAGAGGATAATTATTTCCTGCGAAATACTATATACATATATGTACCGTATACTTACTCGTCTTACGGTGAGATATTTTTTACAGAAGACTCGTATAACAGGAAAGTGAAATAAAAACTTAGAGCGGCTTTGGGAATACGGCAAAAATTTTATGATAATTGCGGAGATCGAAAGAAGGGCAAATTGTTATTTTACTAAATGTGTACATAAATTCGATACCTTGCGCTCCTTGTCAGGTGACTCAAGTTCGGCTTTGACGTGCGCCATTCCTTAAGCCATTTGTATACACGCGCGGAATATTCCGCGCGCCACGACTGTCTTCTGAACGTCGCTGATTCCTGCAAACGGGACCTTAAATAGGTTCATGACACAAATGGGTTAATTGATAATTTGGATGAATCCTTCTCCTAGGGAAGGAAGGGAAGGTCGCGAAAAAAACAACAGGAAAATTGATTCTCGATGTGTAAGGAAATTCTTTCGGCATAGGTTGAATCTTGATGAAATTTTATTGTATCTATGTAGTAGGACACACTTTTTATAATAAAGGAATTTACTTGTCAATTAAAAGAAATATTATGGTTTTTTCATTGTCCTACTTTGTCGCAGATTGTCATCATGGATTTGAATACCGTGTTTTTTTAAAAAATATCTTTATTGCATTTCAAATGAAGTCAAATTACCTTATGTAGCTTCGATGGCATACCAGAAAAAGAATGTCAAATTTTTTTAAATTATCTGACGCCTAATTTATTAGCCTCTGCGATATTGCTCTGACGCGCTAATGTCACCGATGTCCCCGCGTGTCGAGGGGCTCGGGAACGAGTATTTTATTCTTTTGACAGCGTCATAATGTATTCCGTGTAACAAGCATAAAATTGTCTCCTGCACGTCGGCTGATTACCGGAATAGTTCATAGAGGAAAATAGAAGAATGGAATGAAAACGAAGAAAAGGAATGAGCAAGAATTCAACTCAGTTTGCGAAATTCGATTTCTCATACCTGTTAGTAGTGTGCGAGGTGCCCGATTCACGCATTTTGACACGCGAAATGAATTACTTCGCACACTGCGCGTTAAAATGCGTGAATCGGGAACTTCGCACACTACCGAAAAGCATGAGAAATTGAATTTCGTACACTGAGTTGAAAAGAATAGTATATAACACGCGGGCGTGTATGTGATCCTCGAACTTGTTTCGTAATATTATATTAATGTTTTCTCAAAAACTGGCTTTAATGCTAAAACAAAGACCGTTACGCAATTGTTTTAATGTAATTTTTTTTTCATCGTTTGTCACAGTTTCAGGTTAAATTTTCAAAATTTTTCTGTCAAAATTTTCATTCCTTTCCACGTAACCTTATCCTCGCGAAATTTGCAACATCAGTAACAGCAATGAATCTTTAAATATGTACAACCGGTTAAATTAACCACTAACTTTTACAAAATTTCAAACTCTAATAATTTTGGCTTAATAAATTATTGTTCCTCATGAAGTCACCTTGTCATCAACAATTATTTTGCGTACCTCATCCGGCTAAGGTAATATATACCTAATTCCTTTTTATTTGTTACCATTAAAACCATGAAACGAGCTAAAAGTTCGTCAAAATTTCAATAGTAATTTTTAATGCTGATCAATTTGAAAAAGCAGGTATTTGCTGGCGCTTTTCTTGTTGGTTATTATCACGCGAGAGGTTGGTCCTCGAGAAACAGAAAACCTTACGAGGTAAGCAGTGATGGCGGAACAGCAGAATCTAATGGCTTAATGCGTCCCCCGTATGAACCATCGCCGCACAATTTCCCGAACGTCACTGCAGATTCAAGTTATGCATTACTATTATTACGAAGCAAAGAATTGAAGGAAGCTTGGGATGGAACAAACGGAGTTAAAGCGAAGGCTGAATCTGAAGTCAGAAAAAATGTAAAACTCTTACCGATTCATTATAATTATAACTCCATAAAGCACGACTATAATTTATAGACGAGTTTAAGGCAAAGGAAAATATCACATTCATTTTAAATTTTATTAATAAAAACGATTCGAAATTTGAAATCTTCGTCTTCACTTAATTTGGGAAATATTTCAAATTTTACTCTCAGACACGATATTACCACTCGAACGAACAAGGTAATACGTTTGAGCAAGCTTCACATGCTTTATCAAGTTTGATCTAGAGGTAGACAACCCTCAAAGGCAGCTGAGACTGGTAGACAGATGAAGAAAAAAAAAAACACGTCTCTAATTGGAAGTTCTGCTTCATTTCCATCCTTGCTTTTATCCCTTCGCATTTTCGTACCTCGAAACCTCGGTCTCTGACCTTTTCAGCCCTCCGCTCTCATCCCTTAACTCTTCCACATTCAACACTCCAGTTTAGCCGAGTCCACTTCAAGATCTCTCCAGGACAATAATGATTAGCATACAGTGTCGCAGTGCAGACTGGTGCACTTAGATCGAAATGTCTTTGACCTTTAGTCATTAGAGGGAAAATAGAAGGATGACCTTTGACTCCCATTAGATTACACGATTGTTACGTCGAACGGGCTTTGGTTGGGAAAATATTTGAAAATTACTTGATAGTTTCTTGAATTTTACCAACTTCGTCATCAGGGACCATTTCACAATGGAATTTTACAATATTCAAAACCATAACTACATTTCTCAGAATTTATATTTTTGAAATTTCACTTATAACGTAGAATTTAAAAAAAAATTATAATAAAATAGATTAATGGCAACAAAGTTGTTTGGTACTTGTAAGAAACGGACCTATTCCACATTTGGTTAAAATTTTAGGTGATTCTCTGTTCGGTGCAATTTCTCTGTTTTTTTTTTCTTTTAAATATATATATATATATATACTTTACTCACTTTTGTTGTCAGGCAACTTTAACAAACTTGCCCCGAAGGGTATATATTTCCATTCTAATGAGTCTGTTCTAATGAATAGAGGGTTACAACCTGTCAGGTTGCGCGAGGCTTCTGTGCGAATCTCGTCAACGTGCTGAAAGGCTAGCGAATTCCATGTGAATGGGTCTCAGCGCATCCTAGGAGCACAGAGTACACGTGTACATGGGTAGGATGGGTAGGATGTGGCCGAGTGTTTGCAAAAAGCATGCATTGTTCGAAACAGATATAGTGCAACGTGAGGTCACCCGACAAAGGGGCAGTTAAGTGCATGTGCAAGCTCTGATACAAGATGGTGATGATTTGAGCTTTTCATCCTGACTTCGCACGATACTGTATAATCTCTTGGTAGATAAGTCTATGCGCGGAACAAGTTCACAGCGAAATACTTCATTTTCATGAAAAAACCGAAGACGCGACAAAGGTAAAAATATTTTTGTATCGTCTTCTTTAAACTTTCATTAGATTTTACAGACTTATAATGTACGAAAAAATTCTTCTATGCGTGCCTTCGTTTTAAGTAAGAGATGTATATACTTTATTTTTGTACCATGTATGTACGTCCTATAAGTATTGCGTGTTCATACAAATATTTGCTTTATGAAGTATCGTGTCAAGGTATTGTATAAATTAAATGAAGTAGCTTCAATATAAAAAAAATAAGCCCATTATAGGGGATCGAACTAGTGATTCTTTCATTATGAAACTAATTCGCTGTCATCGTGCTACTATAATATAAACTCGTGGCAAGCGAATTAGAACCGAATTTAAATTTGATTATAGGGGGCAGCACCTCTCGTTAATTTCGAAATGCGAACCATTCGCACTGCGAGTTCTGTCGCAGTGGCGTTGTTGCATGTAGTGGCATCGTGTCAGCTTCGAACATGACGTCATTGGACTAGCGCGAACCGGACCTAAATACGTTCGTTAGTGGCTATACCTCGTCTAGTTGTATCATGGTTGTACCCAGCGCATATGCCTTTGAGAAGAAAATTAATTTCGCAAGGAACGTTCGAACTGAAAGTCCTCGACATCGGCAGTTATTATTATATCGTGTACATTCGGAATTGAGTGTTTCTTTTAAATTTGAAATTTCAGTCGATTCAGCTGATTTTCTGAAATTTCGAATACAAACATTTCGCATTTTACTCTAATCGTACAAAAAAGATTGTGATCCTTAAAAAAGAGATCAATATTTTCCCCATGGACGTCAGAGCGTGTTTTTCGATTCCCCTACGAATCAACGAATTTCATGAATACAAAAGCACCTTCGGGAGGAAAAATAAAAAACCGATCTTACGTACCCTGACGAAACCCATTGCCAGGTGATGGTTCACCTTGGCGCTGGCAGTGGCGTCAGCGTCGGTATTGTGTGCCGGCGCTGTCGCTATGAGTCAGGCGTAGGATAACACAGAGTCCAGGATGAATTCAGAACCGAAGGGAATTCTAGAAAGGGATTACGGGATGCTTCAGAATTGGCCACGTTTCCCACAGTGAAAAGCTCCGGTTGGAGTTTCCTAGAGAGCTTCGTGACGTCATTGTTTCGGCTACGGCGTGCCGAAAGCTTGCGTGGTGAAAGCCGTGCGATTTCATGCCTTGAGGTTTCCATTTCGAGCGTCCTATAGCGACTGAGCTTACCCGATTTAACTGTAGCTGCGGATTATGCAGCACCTAACAAAGCAACCTACCATCTGGTGAATAAATACCATTTTCGAAACTTATTTTCATTTTCACGAAACTCCAGGGTCGTTTAATATTTTACACAATGCATAAAATACAGCTTGTTCCTAATTCCATAGCACGAAATTTCAAAACTACAATCTTCGGGTTCGTAATATACGTGGAATCGTTTTTGGTACGTTTCAATAACGTTAAGGTCATTAGCGTGAAATTTAAATTGACTGAATTCACTATTTTCAATGAAAAATAATTTCACTTTTTATCACAAGCCTCGTACTGTTTTCCCTTATACATATTACTTATCCGCAATTGATTGGGGAAATATTTAAGGGTCGCTCTATTACTCTTAAGAGTTGGCGCCGATTCTGAAATGCCTTGGGAATGCGCTTATATTGCTGACAGGGTGCATCCATCATCTAGAATATTGGTCTGGACTGGGCACGAACCCTCTCCCAGTCACTGTAATTCTCACGCACCACCCACCTGTAAACACAAAGTGTACATAAGTATAGGGCATATATATAGATTTGAGTGACTCCATGTATTTGGGTCTATGGTTAGGTCTATGTTGGGCAGGAGGTTAGGGGGAGCTTACTGAACGACCAAGGAGAGACTGGTACATATTGAAATTCATGAGTTATGACTAGCGTATAGAAGCGCGCAGCTTCCAGCAGGAAATGGATACGTTTCTCTCCTGGCGATTTCCACTGTGATGGTCAAAGGACCATTAACGTTAATAGGTGTCAATATTGAGCAATTCATGGTGTACCTTTGCTATTGCATTTACAATCGAAAGTTCTAAACACGTAATTTTTACATTTTAATTAATTCAATGTGTAAATTTTATTATTTTCGACCACGCGAAGTATTCAGGAGTGTATTGTGTCTTATCCTTTGTCTGTTAAGATGATTCCATGACATCTACACGTTCTTAGACATCGAGCCTAAGAAAATTTTAATGCAACTTTATGAGGAGTTTCACGCGTTAGGCTGATATCCTTAGCACGTGTAATAATTTGTTTTGATATCAATTTAACTTTAGGCCTCGTCTTCCTATCACGGTAGATAAATTTATATATACCATATATATATGTATGTACACGTGTATACTACACTCTGGAAATGCTTGTAATCTCTTGGAAAGTCGGGTGGCTCATATCTTCCTCCTTCTCGATCACCCATCGACGACGTCTCTTCCTCTCGCTGTTTTTCACTTACGCGATAGGATGCCTGATAGAAGGAGGATTCCAAGTGGCGCGAATCACAGCGAAAGCGCGAAATTAAATTATCCGCTTCGCAGAAATAAATGAAGAATTCGCAAAGCAACGTGATCGATTTTACGGAGACAATAGCTAGGAATTTTACATATTTTATAAAGGTTACGGGGTGAAATATAGAATGGGTAAACTTCATATCAATTCCTAAAAGTGACTCGGATTTGTTGAATGTTTTTTAAAAATAATCTTCGCATAAAGCTCGTCTCGCTTTACTGAGTCAAACAATTACAAAATATATTGACATACTTGAATAATGGATGTGATAGATATAGTGTAACGTATAATGAGCTTAAGGGATATAAGATCGTAGACAATGGATAACGGGAAGAATTATTATTTTCAAAATTCAATAAGACCAATAGGATCGATTACTTTTTGGTGG